TGAAATATCGCGATATTTCAGTGTATCGATATTTTCTTACACCCCTAGTTTTAATTAATGCGACCGTTTCAGAGCATATGAGACAAACAGGTTTGGGGCTGGAGCAAGCCATGATGTCACCTCTATCTCTCGTGCTCTGATGAGCTCACTGCTCTGATGAGCTCACTGCTCTGATGAGCTCACTGCTCTGATGCCACACAGGGTTTGATCGGCTCAGTTTAATACAGCTATTGCCGTAATAACTGGAGTAGAGGTAACCTCCAAAGCACACCTCTTTGGAGGCACAGGTCCGTGCAGAACCACCACTCAGTCCAGATTCAGACCTAGGTCCACCACTTGGGGATGCCTGTGCTCGATGAAAAATAAGTTCTGTTATTAGCTTTTATCTGTTTATTAAAACTGTGCCCATCACTGGTTTCATGAACCACTATGAAGGTTATAAGAGTTGTTGGAAACGTTGAGACCAGTGAGTTAACCTGTCCTTGAGCTTCTGTGGAAAAGCTCTATAGAGCTACAAACAACGGGTTGGTGGAGTTGAATTTTGTCAATTTTATATGAATTTTATACATTTATTTCTAAATCAAATTTGTAATATTATGTAAAATTGTCCAAAAAGACTATACCCATTGTTAGATTTGTTGACCTTTAATTCAAATTTCTGAGCTCCTGTCAATGTTACTATTAGAGCAGCAAGTCAGATACAAAGTGAGTAAAACAAGGTAATATCACAGTGTTGTAACTGTTGAAGACTGGTTGGTGAAAAGCTTGATTTTTGACCATATTATAAAAACGTTTTGAGACAAATTTTATTTCAAAATACGCAGAGTTGTGTGTGTCTTCAGCTTGACTCGAAACGTTTTCTTTTTCCCCCCATCAATCCTGAACTGCTTGAGCTGTACTTTACTTCTTGAGTCGTGGATTTAAAAGCTTTAGTAGCTTTGCTTTAGGCAAAGTTGAGCATGGTCTTCAATACAACATGTCACTTAAAAACAGTCTGATTTTAATTTTTTATTATCTCTTTAACTCGTGGCTGAACGGCCCGAGCTGATCACTTGGTTTTTCCCTTCAGGTTGTTGCAGACGGCCCGTGCTGAAGGGCAGGTCGAGGCACTGACGGGCTGTTAGTAGGGGTGTAAGAAAATATCGATACACTGAAATATCGCGATATTTCATTTTCCGATACTGTMTCSATATTCTAAAGCCCTGTATCGATTTTTTATTAAGGTCTAAAATGTCAACTTTCCTGCCAGCC